CCGTGTTTTATTGAATCGAATTTATAACATTCGTAAAATCGATTTTCGATAAATTCGTTACGATATCTCGATGGAAATTGTTGTGATTTTAAAATCTGTTTGAATGCCTTTTGTGCTATATACGGTAAAAAAAGTTATACGAAACAGAAGCAACAGAAATCCTTTAATTTGATGGTACTCACATTACGCAGTTAGGTACAGGTACATATATTATGTATTTTTTTTTATTATTGACTAGCTGTTACCCGCGACTTCGTCCGCATAGAATATGAATTTTAAACCATAACATTTTTGTTTCAATTTTCCAAAATAAAAGTAGCCTATGTTACTCTTTAGTACATCAGCTACCTGCCTACAAAACTCTTGCAAGATCGGTCCAGCCCTTCCAGAGATAATCCAGTACAAACAGAGAGACAGAGAGACAGACAGACAAAAATTGTAAAAATTGTTATTTTGGTATGAGTATTGTATGTACTACTCTGTCAAGAAAGTACCGGGAAAAGATCAGTAATACACAAAATGTCTGTTATTCATCCAAATTTATTTTATCACGTCTTCAAAGTATGCTCCTTTAGAAACGATACACTTGCGCCAGCGAATAATCCATTCATCAAAACATTTTTAAACGCTGCTTCTGGAATTGAGTTCAGTTCTCGCCGCGAATTCTCCTGTATTTCTTTTATCGAATGAAAACGGGTGACACGAAATGGTAATTTGAGTTAAGAAAAAAGAAAAAAGTCAGCAGGAGCCATATCTGGTGAATATGGTGGTGGCTGGATGGTATTTGTTGAGTGTTTGGTCAAAAATTCGTCCACAATGATAGCCTTGTCGAAGGCGCATTGTCATGGTGCAAAATCCAAAAAATTTCTTTCCACAAATCTGGCCATTTTCGTCGAATTTGCTCTCTTAAACGCCGCATTACGCTCAAATAATATTCTTTATTTAGCGTTAGACCTACCGGTGGGAATTCAGAGTGCACAACACCGCGATAGTCAAAGAAAACCGTCAACATGAATTTGACTTTTGATCGACTTTGGCGTGGTTTTTTTGTTTCGGTTCAGTTGGAAGGCGCCACTCCGAAGCTTGTTGACTAGTTTGCATGTCAAACTCTTTAAACCCACGCCACGTCTCGTTACCAGTAACAATGCGTTTCATTAATGTTGGGTCCCAACTGACTCGTTCTAGCATGTCCTCAGCGACTTTCATGCGATTGAGTTTTTGGAGAAAATTTAGATCTTTTGGGGCTAGTCGAGCAGCAACATGATTCATACCCAAATGATTAGTTAAAATGGTATGGATCGACTTGTGGGAACCAGAAAGTTCGGCGGCTATCTCTCTCAGAGTTGAATGGGGATTTTCAGTCATTATTTCCATCACTTTTGCGATGTTAACTTTTATTTATTTATTTAACTTCAGTTGCAGACCACTACCAGAGCGAGGCAAATCTTCCATCACGTCTCGTCTCGATTGTTTTCGAGGACTCTCGATAGTTTTCGAGGACGCTCGATTGTTTTCGAGAGCGCTCGATTGTTTTCGAGGACGCTCGAAAGTGATCGAGGAACTCTCGATTGTTTTCGAGGACTCTCGATAGTTTTCGAGGACGCCCGATTGTTTTCGAGGACTCTCGATAGTTTTCGAGAACGCTCGATTGTTTTCGAGAGCGCTCGATTGTTTTCGAGGACGCTCGAAAGTGATCGAGGAACTCTCGATTGTGTTCGAGGACTCTCGATAGTTTTCGAGGACGCCCGATTGATTTCGAGAACTCTCGATAGTTTTCGAGGACTCTCGATAGTTTTCGAGGACGCCCGATTGTTTTCGAGGACTCTCGATAGTTTTCGAGGAACTCTCGATTGCTTTCGAGGACGCTCGATTGTTTTCGAGAGCGCTCGATTGTTTTCGAGGACGCTCGATTGTTTTCGAGAGCGCTCGATTGTTTTCGAGGACACTCGATAGTTTTCGAGGACGCCCGAAAGTGATCGAGGAACTCTCAATTGTTTTCGAGGACGCTCGAAAGTGATCGAGGACTTTCGATAGTTTCGAAGACGCTCGAAAGTGATCGAGGAACTCTCGATTGTTTTCGAGGACTCTCGATAGTTTTCGAGGACGCTCGGAAGTGATCGAGGAACTCTCGATTGTTTTCGAGGACGCTCGATTGTTTTCGAGGACGCTCGATAGTTTTCGAGGACGCTCGATAGTTTTCGAGGACGCTCGATAGTTTTCGAGGACGCTCGATAGTTTTCGAGGACCTTTGATGGTTTTCGAGTGACTCTCGAAAGTGGTAGAGGACACTTGATAGTTTTTGAGTATTTCTCGAATGTGTACAAGAACGCTCTGTTAGATTTTGATATGGTAAGTTCTCTTCTTAAAGGAAACACTGCAGTTCGAAGAATAAAATAACTTTTATTTAACTTCACAAATTAAAGGGTATTATAATTTCGAGTGTGACCCACGAGTGCACGGGATTGTGGATGGAATGCGACTGACTGTTTTTGTATAGGACGGGGTTGTATGCATTTGAGGCGAGGAGTGAAGTGTCAGCACTGTGACGCGGATAAGGGTGTGATATTCTTTGGGTATAACAGCTCGATAGTTTTCGAGTATATGCATGTATTGCAAAGATATAGAGATTTTTTTACATCAAAACCGAAAAAGTTGATCATCTCAGAAATTAACCACTTTCGGACCAAACCAGAGACCTTAGGGTTAATTTTGTAGGAAATTTGTTGTATTATCACCCCCTGAGAGGAATACGTCGAGTTACAAGTCACCCTGTTTAACATAAATATTTACAACTTAAAAAAATAATTTTGGTTGTTTCCTTTTTACTTTCGTTTTATTTAATAGTTGTAGTTAATTTTGAATAGTAGGTAATGAGCCGCTCGATTTGTCGCCCCCATAATCGTGCGCCCTTTTGCTGTCCACGCTTTGCACACCCGCTTACGGCGGGCATGTTGTACTTCGTCAAATAGACTGTACTAACACGAGACACGTAGTATAAAAATATTTGTGTGGCCTTCGAAACGTTCTGGATCTTATCGTTAAACTTGCATATATTTGTCAATTCGCCTACGTTAATTATAACAGGTGCATTCAAGCCGTCACTCTATTGATTAAATAAGATAATAATATATTATTTACATGGTGGGTGTTTAAATATTATGAAGACATTTTGGTGATCTTATAGTCTACGTAGGTATATTCGGAGTCGCGGAGAATCTAAGAGGTTACCGGTGCTCCGGCTCGACGTGTAGGAGTAGGAACAGGGTGGTTTTCAGTCAGTAAGAGCAGACTCTTAGGCGGGAGGGAGTGTTCTGACACTCCCTCCCGCCTCTCCTCATGCGATGATTTTCCCCCCTTAAAAAAATAGTCTACGAATAGATACTTATGTAGGTAGGTACTAAGTAGTAGGTAGGTACGGTCAGTATCAAGAGTTTAATGAACATTAAAAATCATTGTACTGTAATACAAACAACGTATTACCTACAACGGTCAACATGGCAAGCACAAGAAATAAAATATGATTATCTTGTGTCGCTGATTTAGATATATGTAATATCTACGATGTTCAGCGATTTTTACCGACTTCAAAAAAAGGAGGAAGTACCTACTATGTTCGGCTGATTGTTTTTTTTTGTTTGTTCGCCGCTATTTGTGAACCGATTTCCATAATTCTTGTTTTGTTTGAAAGACTACTTATACTCCTGAGATGGTCCCATTTCCATGAGGTCAGGATCTGATGATGGAATCCTAGGGAAACTGAGGGCAACTTTCGAAAATTACAATTTTCTAAAAACATAATAGACGAATGCGTCTATTATGTTTTTCAATTAGGATTTTTAAACACTACAATTTGATAAGGGTCTGGAGTCGACCTGATAATGGAGCCGACAGACAGTTGAGAGAACTCCTCAACGGTTTATATTAACTACCTTGTGTTTGTGCTTGCTTGATTAATTTGTATTGATGAGGACTTTATACCTAGATAGAGCGGGACTGTCAAAAAGGGTCTGATTATGAAGAAGTGTAATTGTTAAGGGAACTCTTCAACGGTTTATAGTAATGACCTTGTGTTTGGGCTTGTATTATTTGTATTGATTAGAACTTGGCACATATGTAGATTATAAGTGACAAAACGGATCTATGTAGCTTTACTTACACTGAAAATGATAATATAAAAACTGCGTTTAAAAACCCAACTTCAAAAACCCTAACAAACAAAGCGTCAAAACCAAAAAGCAAAAAATATCTATTATTAGTAGGTACTGATAGGCCATCCACCCACTGAGAGGTTAAAAGTCGGTGCCATAAGCTCATATCATAATGATAAAACTTATTGGCCACAAAATTGTACAATAGATATCTATTCCTCAAGGTTTTAGAACTTAGAACCTATGGTACCGACTTCTAACCTATCAGTTGAGTAGGTAACCTATCAGTACTAATAACCTTTTTCACTTTACTTATCATCAAGTTATTATTTTATTTTTGAGAACTTTACAAATAACTTAATGTTTTTTTTGGTAGCTAATAAACCAAGGAAGGTTTTATACAGTCATACAGATTCTAACTGTTGTCCTGCTCATACCGATGAAAATTAAAAGCTTGATGGTCAATATTCTGCCATCTACGGATTAATGGAGGAACAAATTGTAAATAATATCTCGATAATTGTACGACAGATGGCGCTCCTTTTACAGTATTTACTGTCTTGATTGACTTCCTAATCAATTTTTTCACAGTAATATTTTATTTATTAAATGCAAACAAATAATCAATTTTATTCCCACAAAAGCTTTCAAATGATTTGCCTTCAGCATAATAATCACCTCTGCACTGCTGTGAAATTTATGTCTCTTTCTTTCTAACGTAACATACGTTGAACAGTAAGAGACAGAAGATCCGCAAGTTAATAACTTTTACGTTTTATTTCTGACATTCTTGCCATGAACGCAACTATCTGTGATTCTGTGAATGAAAGCGTCAAATCAATCTGTCACTCGTCGACGGCGAATCGGCCGCATCAGCGGACTTGTTACGAGCTATTTTACAATATTAACTTGTAAATTTTAATGTGTATAATAATGCTGTGAGAAGCACGCTCAGTGACCATAGAATTAATTGAAAGAAAAGTGACCGACAATAAGATGCCTTTTGTAAACATCAAAAAGCAATATCTAGCAATGGGGTTGTTAATTTTCGTTATGTTGTTTTTATTTAACACTAGGCCAGTTTTTCAATGCCAGTTTAATGCAGAAGTGAGTTCATATCTCCCAGTGATATACGGGATTACTCCAACGTACGCGAGGCTCGCTCAAAAGGCGGATCTTACAAGGTATGAATTGTTTATCGTGATTCTCCTGCCCTTGATGTATGGATATCTTACCTCATTTGTTTGGCTAAAGTATTTGGCAATATCTCTTGGTAAGCCGACAATTATTTTAATTGGTTAATTGATGGGCTTACACAAGATAATAGGTATGCATTGAGTAATCACTGTAAATGTTTAACCATGAGTAGGCCAAGTCAATTGTCGAGTTTTATTTGTGGAATTCAACGAAATGTAAATGCAATTACCAATTAATTTTATTTCATAAATTTATTTGTAGTTTGCGAGTTTATTGTTCAAAATCGTTTGTAATAATATAGCAACTCTGATATCAAATTATATATTTTAGTCTAATCATATAGGTATATTTATAATGTAAATTACTTAAATATTTAAATTATGTAGTGTATTTTATGACTGTAACTGTAAGGTAACTGTACATCTATGTATCTAGAAATATTTTATCCCTTTGTAGTATCTAATTCAGTCTCATTCAAACAATGGGTTATTGTTGGGCATCTATAGTAGGCAATTATTTTCATCATCTTTTACCAAATAGTTAGATGTACATGCATAACTAGTTATTTCTAGTTTTTTGTATATAATTTTGTTTAATTTTACGAAACTACCAGCTAGCAAAACTTATCATGGGTTAAATTGAAGGAAAGCAAGTTGGATAGCATATGATTGATGTCCTTAAACTAATATTTTACTTTTGATTTCCTACTCAAGTTATCTCTTATTAACTGTGACTTTATATAATTTATATTTTAAAACTTCTTTTTAATCAATCCTATAGACTAAGGTAAAGTATCTTATATTTAATTTATTAGTATAAAGTTTCATAAACATTGTCACAGTTAGTTTATAGTCCATCAGCATAAGAACAGAAAAAAATATCTTGAATACAAATTGTTGTCCAATAATTGCTCATAAAAAAGTTACCAAAATGCAAAAAAAAAAAACTCATTCATAGCCCATTTTCAGGAAGTAATAATACTGGTCACAAATAAACTTAATTTTCAATTGTAAGTTCAATATTTGCTTTTTCTGTTATTTCTTTTTTGTTAATTGTTCACCTGTGTTTGCCCAGACTGTAAATAGAGAGAAAAGTAAATATGCTTCATTGTTTCCAATATAAAGATGATTTATTCATAATTATTACTACAAATAATGCTTCTTATAGGTGCGTTTTTTTAAAAAGGCAATTACCTTGTTTTTGTGGTATAATGTAGTCCTAATTAAGTGACTCAGGAAAAAAGTCATTGAACCTTTTTGCTATGAATACAAATGTAATAATGTATCTACTTACCTAATATGAAGTATATTCATCTTTACCAATTTTCTCTACATTAAACTATTCTATACCAGTAGAAAAAATATTAACTCCATTCTATTTTCTCAGGTTATCGCAAACATTGATGCATGTAAAGAACCTTCACTGGGTGGTGATTGAAGACTCTTTAGAGAAGACAAAATTGGTTGCGAACTTGCTCAAAGAATCAAATCTAAAGTACACACATCTGAACATTAAAACTCACAAAACGAAACAATCTACGGTATGTATGATGAATGTTTTCAATATTATAAAATTAGAATAAAGATAAATTAGATCAACAGTCGTTGGCAAGGCTACTGAGATTCACATATGTCTGGATATTTGAATTTAGCATGCACATTTCTGTGCCAAGTATAGTCCCGTATTGCTAGCGATATGCTTTCTACCTCAAACTAAATTCTTTGTAATAATATTATGTACAAAAGATTCTGCTTAAGGTGCTGCAGAAAATAATCTAACAATTAAGTTATGGCAGTCTCTCAAAAGTATTTTACTCCACCTTTTTTCATTTAAAAGATATGTGTAATTGTGTACTGTACAATTTCTACAAAATATGCTTAGAAATATTCCACATTGATGAAAATTACCTACTATATGTTTTAGCAATTCTTATGCTTAAAGGAATTCAAGCTTAATATTATATCAAAGCATAGATCAATCTACTAGTTAAAAACAAAACTCATCTATGTTTTTGTTTTAAATTTTAATAAATATTTCAGGTGATGGACATCAATATATGTGTGTTTAAAACAAGCTTGTACAACACATCTTGGTATTGTGTATGTCCATACAATTTTTAGATGTTCTCTGAATTTGTGCATAAATGTTTGTGTAAATGAATGTTTGATGAAATCGTGTTTTAATAGTGATTAATAAAACTTGCAATTTATTTAGCTGTTTAGGCATAAACGTGATATATTTTCAATGCTAAAATAACATAATTCCTTTTATTCCCCCAATAATTAAGCAAACAACCTCATATTAAATGTAGTACCCATTTTTCCCGAGTTACCTTACCGAGTCAGGTCAAAAAAGCAGCTCCTTGTAATATATTTAGAGTAGCAGTTAAATACATTTTATCCTTTTGCAGCTTACACCAATATTGACAGTTACAGAAAGTAATAGTGTCCTAGTAAGTTACTTAATTTTAACAATGGGGTCTAGTAATTATACTATTTACTTTACATCTTTGAAAGAGTATGCAGATGTGTACATATTGTGCAATGCGAATTCCACTTATAAGCAGTTGTTATAATTCCTCTGTACTCTGTAGTAGATGGTGAGCCTATGATCATAGACTGAGCATAATTCCAGACTCCGGGATATTACTGAGAAATTGTTATAGAAAGAAGAGCTCAATAATTATGTATTCAATTATAGTATTGATTCCAAGTTCCTTGCAGGAACAGTAGAATGCAAATAGGGGTAATAGAACTAGCAGTCGTTTGATATGTTGGTAGGGTTGTAAATATTTTTTATCCTTTGCAGCCTACATCTATACAGAAAGTAAGAGGAATTAAAGGGGTCGCAGTAAGTTATTTTATATTGTCAATGGGGTCTCAATATTTTTATGTTACATTGTGTTTGTTTGAGTTTCGTTTACCATAGTTAACTTGGGGTAATTCCGTTTATTTGTATGTTGTTTATCCAATAATACATAGATCCTAGCTTCCATATTCAAAAAGATCAAAATGTGTCAAGAAGGTTTGTTCTAAAGTTTCTTTCACATTATTGTGTCGTTTTCATTATAAAAGTAGCATTTTAGTGATTACACATACTTGAAGGGAATATCTGCGTACATTATATCTTCATCTACATACTATTAGTTAACGTAGTTGCAACAGGGCATTTTCAATACTTATCATCATACATATTTTGGGTGCTTCATTCAACTTCATTTTGTATTTGGGTTAGCATTCATTGTAACAGTACTAGCACACGTTGATAGAGAACGTGGTGTAGGACAAATCACCTCGTGCCCTCATAGTCATATTATTAATAGATTGGTGACCACTTGTCGCTACCAACTGCTTGTCCAGAATTTTCTGGACGGCAGGTCGGCAGTGCAGTAGTGTCGTAAGATACCTACAGTGCTGTTCTTCTGAAAAATAATATATTACGGAAGGAAGGTACAGCGAAATCACAAATCCTATACTCATTTACAGCATGAACATTAAAGCGTAGGAGAGCAGAAATTGCTCTTTTAATCTCTCTAAATGTATTCGAGGACGGCGGACTTGGGGTAGTCCCCGTCACCACATTATACAGGGCCCGAGGTGAAACCTGAAGGAGACGATACCTTTCTCGTTTCCAAGAAAAGCGGGGAGAATATTAGGTTCAGTGCACCCTAATACCTATACTTGAGACCGTATTTAATTAGTGAGACTGACAGTCTCCTTCGTTATATGATAATTTTTCAAACTATTATATGACAATTTTTCAAATGAATTGTTTGTTGATCTTTGCAGCATTACACAAAATACACAATTTCATAATTTGAGTGGGCGTAAGAAGTTTTTATAAATTAGCACATCTGGGTATAAATTATAGTACCTCTAGTATCTAGACCTATACCCATCTTTATTTTAATACTTGTACTAAAACTAGGTACTTGCGCCAAAACGCTAGGAATTATAATTTGTGATGACAAGGATAACAATTATGATGACATCATCACTAAATAATTTGCAAGTTGGTCTGTATGTCTACTGAATTATTGCGAATAACAATTTCAGTGGCTTCTGATTTGCGTGAAAATAAGTGTTGTGGGTTTTTTAAACACTCTTTTTGTTTGAATCTTCTAAATTCTATTTTAACTTATTAACTTTTTCTTCTTCCTTTTGGCTACTTACTATTTAGCGTTGAACATTGTTTAAGACTTTTTTATAAAGGGGAATGACTTTACGAAAACTTGTAGTAACATAATTTTGTTAAGTGTACTTAATGCTTCGTCAATCGCTTGGCAGTTCGCCAAGTCTTCAAAAAAGGGGCCTATTGTTTCTTCTTTCTTTGCCTCAGTGAAGTGCCACACACTAGTGGCTTATTTGACACCGCAGTTTTAACCAAAAGAAGTCTTTTTATCGTTTTCGTTATGTGTAAATGGTCTGACACCTCAACTTTGAATAATAATATTATTAACAGTTTAGCAAAACATTTTCTGTCTCGAAACATCAACACTGGAACATCGTATTACATTGTATAAAAACTATTTATGAAACTATATGCATGAACCGAATATCATGAAGTACCTAGGTAGGTATTCAACGTATTCATTTAACGAATACACGTAGAGTTCCGTAAAGGAGATTTTTTTTGTGAGGATGTTTACATCAATTTCTATGCGCCTAAGAAATACTCGAGGTAGGTACATTGTATTTCTAGTTGCCGAAGCAACTACCAAATCGATTTTTGAGACTAGCCAACAGACGTCACCTAACAAACTGTCCTTCTTTCACGAACCATACAAATATCAATGTTTTATTCTTCGTGTGCGATACATAACACAAAGGGGATGTTTGGGTTGTAATTGATTTGAAAATATCAATAGAAATGTAGTATTGATGGATTAACAAAACATGTGGTAAATGTTTAGCGGACGTTCCAGTTTTTTATTAGTATTTGTGTAATTACAGGCCAGTGGCGTGGAACAAAGGAATCTGGCTCTGGATTGGCTGAAGGGCCATTTGCAGAAGTCCGAGGATCAAAGAGGCGTTGTCTACTTTATGGACGATGACAACACTTATTCGCTTAAAGTTTTTGATGAGGTAAGTTGATTTTATAACTCTTGTTTATTTTCAAGACCTAAAAAGGTCACCAGTGAGTTACGAAACTGGGATTAGATTGTCGCGCCTTTATCAACGAAGCCTCAAAAACATCAAATAACAGATTTGTACTAATTAAATTAAGTAGGATTTCGCACAGCTTACATTGCCAATTATACGCTATGCAAAGAAATTCTGATTTAAAAATTAAAATAGCGGCCTTAAATGAAATGTTGAGACTTGTGTATAATATTTAATGAAAAGAAAACTTGAAGTCTTGAGTATTTTTTAAATATTAAAAATGTTTATCTCTATTTTTCTTTTACGGATGAACCAAAATTTCGTCATGCGCATTGAATTTTAATATCGCGTACGCGGAAAAATGTTTCACCATTTTGAATAGCGATTGAGGCAAAATAACTGTTAATAAACAGGCAACATAATGATGGTAATGATTAACACGCTATAATAGTTTTATATAAACTGACTGTTCCCATATAATATGTGGACGGAATAATACTAATAGAAAAGTCAATGTATGAACTTGACATAATTATTCGAATGTCAGTGTCAAGTGCATACATTGCCTTTTCTAGTCGCTCATCCGATTAGCGCTTATGCCATTATATATTTATAGGGAAATCAACAAGTTTTGTGTCGTCTCCCTATGTGAAATACCTAAATGATAATTTTTATACATATTTAAAAGTATATTATGTTTAGGACTGAGACTAATGCGACGAAACAAATCACATAAAAATTTAATCAACTATTCTCGCATATTAAGCAGGCAGCGTATCCAACATGATTTACCTACACCATCACGCTAGTTTTTATACATTCTTTACTTATATATTACATACTTATCGGTTGAAAGACGAATGCACCGCTCACGCGTGTTCAACATAAATAAATACCTACATGCGCCACTATATTACTATGTGGTATTACCGGATAAGAATCGGATATAATCAATTAGTAGTTTATTTACACTGCAATAACATTCACCGTGACATTAGTAACATACCTACCTACAATATAATACTTAGGTATGTGTAATGAGAGCCTCGTTGTTATTCACAAACAATAACAATATCACCGCTCCTATACAGGAAAATGTAATGTTGTAATCATTGTACTTAACAATAGCTATGTATTTATATCTTCACGCGGTATGGAGGATTCTAGGGAAGAAGCGAGTGACCGCGTTTTGAGGTCGATAAAGTCAGGACAGTGAAGCAAAGTATTATTAGGAGTTTTCACATAACATAACATCACGCCTTTCTTCACCGAAGGAGTAGGCAAAGGTACACATTACGGCTCTTAATGCTACTATACGATGTAACACCCACTTTTCACTATTTATGTTATGAGTCCCATGTAATAGGGGGTGAGCCTATTGCCATATACCGGGCACTATTCCAGTCTCCGTGCTACTACTGGGATTTTTCTAAAACCCAGTAATACTTTTCCCGACCCGGAAATCGAACCCGAGACCTCTTGCCCGGCAGCCGCATTCTCGACCACTCGGCCAATGAGGCAGTCTAGAAGTTTTCAGAGTGAATAATCTTGCTCTGTAATAAACGTAAATGCGTAGGTGCATAGGCATAGGATAAGATGTTACTCCTACTTCTCTGTCTTACTTATACGAGTTAGTGGTTACATCTTCCTTCCTTCCTTACAATATCCTGCAATGCGCCATCGCCAATCAGGGACTCTTTGCAGACTGTCTAGCATAGTATCACTCGCGTTTCCCATTGCAGGTTTTACTGAACAGTCTAGTGCGTAGATTATCTGCCGCGTGATCTAGTTACCTCTACTTAGATAGGTAATACCACAGAACATATAAAGAAGGCTAGAAAGGAAATAGTTCCTGATTTGTATTAGAACACGCGTCGCCGTTTGTCCCCCACTCTTTAACTTTACTACAAGCAAGAGACCAATACCTACGCGGAAAATGCACACAAATAAACAACACGCACTAGGTTAAAAGATTTGTTATTGGTCGTCACACTGACGCAATCACTTCGTTTGACATACACTAATACAGGCGTAAAAAACTCATATATGGTAGGGGGAGCGAAAGGTCGATTATTGATATCGATAAAATTAATGGCATCTAGCTTCTTAATTTACATGTATTGTGGACTATGCGGATTTGTATAAAGCATATTGTGCACATGTATTTACGTTAATGTAAATAACTATACATAGAAAAATACATAACTGATTTTTAAAATCAATTACATTATTAACATTAAAATAATTTGACATGGAATATAGTTATAAGTAAATTGTTGATTGGTAGTAATCAAAAAAGTATAAAAACCCGAAAAGGTATTATTTCGATTTTGTTTTGTTTTCAACTGTAAGTTTTATAAAAATAAAAGGAGTCTGGGAAGTCATGGGGTCAAAAATAATAGATTTTTACTTAATTCAAAATATATAAAAAATAGCGTAATTTCTCCCTAAGGAATGAAAAATCATAAAATAATGAAATATTGAGAATTATCATAACGTAACCATATCATGATATATCTAATCTGTGCTCAAAACTCTGTTATTGTCTCTGTTAGATATCATCATGACATTCGTATGATGACAACCGATAATCGTCGTTCGTATTTCTTTAATAGTTAATATAAATAGGAATTATTATATAGTTTCGGTTACATAATTTCCTTTACTGAATGTGAGTGGTGTGCAAATTAACTTAGAAAGTACGTATAAGTTGTATGAAACAGCGCCGCAACCTCCAGGCCAACACAATATTTAGCTCACGTAAATTAAGTCAGCTCTAAAAGCTCTGAAAACTAGAAAAGTCATCAAGTGTACATAGCTATTCTTAAAAAAGGTACAATACAATCGCTCCCAGGATATAATGTCATCTTATTTGTTGTCATAGCTTTGTTCTCGAATAGAAAACCTCAACAACTATTTTAAATTATTGACTAAAATTTCGGCTGGCTTTTAAGAATTTCTCATAGTTTCAACTATTTACAATTTGGGCCTAAGCATGTATGAAAGAGTATCCATCTTACGAAAAATGATTTAGATGTCCCTTAGATGATATCAAGGTAGAAATGTAAAACAAAATTTCCTAAATCATAAAATCAGTCTACTTACTGAACAAAACATAACGAATACATAAAAAATTATATAAAACTGAAATACGAATAAAATGCCTCACTTAAAACCTATTTCATAATTAGTCGTAATAAATAAAATTATTTTAGTTATAATGTGTATAATTTGATAATAATCCTTTGTATCATAGTAATTATCGACATTGTTTACAAATTGACACTTCTCTATATCGATTCGAGGAAATGACGTTTTGATTTGATACTCGGGACTCTCGTTGTGAACGTAATACATTGCGCGATCGTTTATGTAGTGCAAAACGGTACGTATCTATTGCAAGCAATGTATACTGCTTGCGATAATGTCGTTTTTGTCTAGAAACGTCATAATATTAATGTTATAATTACAAATATCACAAGTATATTAATGTTTTTGAAGTCACTGGTGGAAAGAAATCCCTTCTCGTGCTACATTGCACACCTGTCTTCTTTTCCGACACATTACAATAGTCCAAGACGGCATAATTTAATATTATTTGCGGAGTTTCGTACGCTGTCACAACAACATTGCGTTTGATGGCCGGTTTTTGACATTTTGGTAGATTTGGAGCATTTGCTCATAACCGCGGCACGCGTGTACCGCCCACAAGGCCGTTCTATCCTCCTTTATATGTTCTGTGGGTAATACTTTTACACATAAATCCTATAGCATAGAATAAAAATAGGCTCATAATCATAAAACACAGTTCAACTTGGTTAATAGACCACTCTAATATAGCAACTTAATGTATTAAATTAGTGCCTGAACATTTAGCGAGGGTCATCGACACTATCTTATCATTTCCTAACCTAAGTGACTAACTGGAGTTCCCGTCCCCGATAGTTTCCTAAGCCAATATACAAATAGATAAAACTCGATTACTAGGAGTCATTCGGGACTGAATTGATGGCGCCATAAATGTTTAGGTCTTTAAGGGCTGACTCAAAGATATTTACTGTTATAATTTAATACATAAAGATTCTTATTGTTTGATTTTGATAAATTGTTTAATAATTGCTATTGTTGTGTAACCTTAAGTTTATCAAATGACAATGCCAGATCCTGACCCAGTCATAATATAATTTACAAAAAAAATAAATTGATGAAAATAATTTTGACGAATAAGGAACCTTTTCACAATATCTCTTTTTATTTTTAAACTTGCGGTTTGCAATCTAATAAAAAAAGAAGTTCAATCCCGGAAATACTTTTTAGCAATGCGTCTTCCATATTGTCTAATGACTATTTGCGTTACATCATACGCATCGCTTGTACGAAACTATGAAAATAAAAAAGTAAGTAACTGTAAAAAAGATATCATTATACATAAAATATTATATCAAACGTATAATTATGTATAACATTTATTTATTTATTAATAATTGAAGATGAAATCACGAAAATATAAAAGAAATGATTACTATCATTAGTTATGATTTTTTTTGTGTAACGAAACGTTTTGAAGCGCTTGTTAGTTGTCAGCTGTCAGTGTCAATATTATCTTTCATTCGCTCTCTGCGTTTCCGTTGTTTTCGCGTTATTTATCATTATTGTTTTGTGTTTTAAACAAAAACCGTAAGTTTTACAGGTTTCCGGACAAATGTTTAGGTATCGGTAATTAATACACTACACGATGCTAAATACTACATACTTGTACATGACTTCTAATATAGTGGGTCAAAGATGTACTGAGCACCTAGCATTGTCCTTTAGTTAACTGATTACTGATTAGGTACTTGCTTGTACAGAGAATGCCTCTTAATTATCTGAGTAGTATTACCTTAGTACCTATGAGTTTATTTTACGATTAAAGTAATCGTAACGAGTACGCGTTCGGCGCTGTGATTGGTTGCTTCATTGGTGCCGGCTCATTCATGATCATTTACCTGCAATTTTCTGAAGGTGTCAGCTAAGGGTAGGGAAAACCGAAAAAGGTTTAATAATCCCTATGACTTGCCATACATGACTTGCTATGGCAAGTGGCATTGCTAAAGGGAAGACTTTGTTTATCGGTGATTTAAAATACTTTGATATCTTTTTTTATTTTATTTTTTATTTAATATCTAAAACCCCTCACTTAATACTTTTCCACGCTTAGGTACGAATCAATCAAGGATATTGGTCAGTAGTCACCAACCACAAACGACAATCTTTATCGTTTTCTGCGAACTGAGTACTGACACATTCTACTTATTGAAAATTGCGTCTGAACTTTATATTAATAGTACCTACACCGCATCTTTATCAAGAAGGAGTTCATCGACTCTAGATAGCCTGTATTGTATCTAGTCTTGGAGATATGCACGTAAACATACATTCATACATATTTATAGAATATATTATAACAGTGCTATAAGACACATGGAATTTAAGTGCTAGTCGACTGAGTGTATAGTGAAATTAATTGTGTAAATTGCCGAATGTAGATACTGGTCAAACCTATACATTGAATTGTCCATTTAGTCAAGAACTAGAGTTTCAATGTAATTTGTTTACTGTAGCAAGTCTAAATAATAATAAAAAATATGTGTATTTAAACAGAGACATCGTTTATGTAAAAATATAGAATTTATAATTTTCTTCGGAAGGTCTTTTCTAAAGGAGACGAAACGTCTCCATAGAATAAAACAAGTTTTGTGGCTTAATAGCGTACTGCATACATGTGCACCTTATGTCTTGGTAAGACCTTCAGTCATATGACATCATCATAGATGAAGTACACACGTACTTTGAATTTTAAATAATAATAATTTTACTATTATATTTACTTCAACAACAGCCTATAAATGCCCACTGCTGAGCAAAACCTCTTCTCACACGAAGTAGGTTTGAGCATTAATCACCATGCTTGCTCTATGCGGGTTGGTGATTACAAACTTATAATCAGAAATTGTAAGCCCAGAATCTATATGTTACATAATACGCAAATGCTTGTTTGTCAGGGAGGTATTATTGTAATGTAATGCTCAAAGTAGAATCTATAATGTTACATTACACGTGAATGCTCGCGGTGAAGGGAGCACCTTTATATAACTAGCTGTGACCGCAACTTCGTCCGCGTGGAATAGTGATTGGATAGGTTTTCCCCCGGAAATGATAGCGTGATAATATGTAGCCTATATATTATGTTGAACCGACCTGTTCGTAATATTCATGCAAAATTTGAAGTAAATCCATACAGTACTTTTTGAGTTTAACCCGGACATACATACATACAAACAGACAAAAATTCTATAATCCATGTTTTTAGATTCGATATCGATTGTAGATCACGCATCAACCATTCTTTAAAAAATATTCAATGTACCTTCCTACAGTTTTCACTTTCCTACAATTTTATTATATGTCTTACATATACTACCTCTATAAGACGTCATAAAAAATTATGTAGCTATAGTTTCGTTTAATATTCATTCAAAGAATTATTTTGTAACTGCCGAGTATTAAAAGGGAAGGCCTTGTGATCGACAGCTGATGTTCAATCGTGACTAAATTAACTAGGAAACTATGTACTTTGATTGGTTGGTTCATTGGAACCGGCCAATCAGAGCGCCCAAATCGTACACATTTCGATTGCTTAAGACGTAAAACAAACTCTTAACTAAGGGCTCGTACACAAAACTGCGATGCGATGCGATTCATGCGATGCTAATTTGCAACGCAAAAAATTACGATGCGAATTGCTGCGATGCGATTTCGTGCGACAAGGCATCTCCCAGGGCAGGGTGACTATTCCTTCGACCGTCCGGCAACCGTACTAAACGTATTTTAAATCGTAAAAAAAGTGTGCACTTCTTCTGTTATTGCTCAGGAGATACAGAAAAAAAAAACAAAAAAATTTTTGGGAAGATAAGATTTTGATGCGCGATGCGAATCAATTCGCAAGTTCTTGCGATGCGTTGAAGGAGCTCGCTCATTTTTCCGATGCGACGTCGCATCGCAGTTTTGTGTATGAGGCCTAAGCCCTCACTTGTAATTATTATTGTAAACTGTATTGCTTATCATTTTGACTGATTTCGGTTAGTCACGATAACTGTTATGTTGTTACTACGTTCCGATTAGAGTATTATCGCATTGTAAATATTATGTTGTATCTACAATTTATATTACATAAGTCATTATAGTGTAATGCTACTGATTATATTATAGACAAACACACTAACTTATAGCTATTTTCAACCTTTTTTTATGGGATACACTGGTAAACTAGCAGACGGATCACCTGATGGTAAACAATCGGCGTCGCCCATGGACACCCGGAACACCAGAGGCGTTACAAGTGCGTTACCGGCCTTTTGGGGATTAGGGATTTGAGGAGTGTTGCGGATTCGGGGATTGGGAAGCGAGAGATTGGGTCTCCAGTAAAATCTATCTGTACATTAGATTACTAGAGGTAGAATTTTGACTCATATTTATGTAGTTTATGGTTGCAATACGACTTTTAATACAGTCCTGAACTGTTAAATTCGATTATTGGGTCAATCAAACGATATATAAATATCGTGTATTTTGGTGTCATGATTGGCAATAGTAACACAAAATGTGGCCTTGTATGTGTTTTGTTTGTACAATATCAGTTTATGTGCAATATGCCAATCCCTTTTAGCATTTGAGACTTAATTCCAAGAAGAACTTATAAAAAATACTAAACAATCTACTTACGTATCAGACGCATCTCTGTCTACATGACTGAATACAAAATGTAATTAATAGTATCCCTATAAAGTCATGAATCTACAAGCATCTAAAGTCGTTATCATTAAATTCTTGGAGCATATTTCGCGATTGTACACCGTCATGAGACGGGTCGTTGACCTTTCTAAAATTAGGTTGAGCGTAACACTACAGAGTACCGATCATGTCGATGACTGGTGCATACGTGACGTTAGCCGGTAGCCAGTTCAAAGCAAACAGTCTATCTTTTGAGATATCTATTCTACTCATCGTCAACATTGTTTAATCTAACTTTAGTTTTCCATATTGGTTCTCACTATTAATTTGTCTATTGTTACACGAATACTAATGACTGTCATTGATAATAATAACTTGTACGGGCCTTTATGTAAACACAGTGTCGCTTCTTTTTTATTTGTTTAGAAAAATTTATAGAAAAAATGATCTTAGGACAATTATGCTATTTATTACATTACTTACAATAGTTACATGGTACAATGCATGTAATAAACAGAATTATTAACAAGTCAATCTAACATTTTCACTGCTGGTAATAATAGCAATAAAATTCTTGTTCCTACAGCATCATAAACTGATTTGTGCCTACGGAAATCTAGAAGTGTCGTAATGTACTAGGTTTTTATCGATGCAATGACTATAAAACCGAATGGATTACCATGTTTATGTTTTCGCTATAAGCTTATTATAACTCCTTGATTATTTACCTTGGACTAAGGCCGTTAATATTAATCATTATCCACTTTTTGCCAATTATTTAAGTAGTCCTAACATGTCTGTATTAGGTGTGATTATCGTTTATCACCGAAAATATTTCTTAAATCTAGGCTATTAGAAAAAAGAAAAGAAAGAAAGAAAGATTATTAGGTCCTATGGGGTTGGCATAATGTTTATTTTCTCCGCATACCAGGCGTCATCCTATCATTCCCTATCTTTAAAAGGCCAGCAACTGACTTGGGACTCTTGGGAGTTCTGGGTGTCCAAGATCGGCGCCCCAGTTGCTTGCTATTTGCCGCCCTATCCGATAAAAAAGAGGTTAACTTTAACTATACTGACTATACGATTAGGAAGCTGCTAAATAGACTAAAATGTGGTTACAAAAATGTTGATATGAATGAGGAAAACATGAATAAATATGGTTGTTCAATAACGTCATTGGATCGATAAGTTTGGCTGTACCACCCGACTGTTTACTACCTTATCTTATCTCCTCTTAGCGTAGATTCCGCTATTAATAGTCTAGTGAGTAATGGGTGCACTTCCCTATCTAGTTTCGTGGAACCCCTAGCAATAAAGCGTTTTGTTTTCTATTGATACAGACATTTTATATATTTTACCATGTTTTATGAACATTATCTTTGTCTATCGCTCGATTAAGGAGCATTATATTAAAATCTAACACCAGCTTTCAATGACTCCATATTGTAACTGATAATGTCAAAAAGAGTAATATGTAATACTTAACCAGACGCAGTTAAAACTGAAGCATCGTGCTATGCATTTGCTCTCCGACCTCAACCAACGAAACAGATCAATAGTATCCGTATTTCATCAACCCTTGTAATAACATAATCTTCTAATAACAAACAAGAATATTATATCCTTTTATTTCCTAATTACAGATGCGGAAAATAAAGAGAGTTGGTGTGTGGCCAGTCGGCATAGTTGGCGGTATGAGGGTCGAGATGCCTCTAGTCACGGACGGGAAAGTAAGCGGCTTCAACGCCTGGTGGAAGCCTTTCCGACCATTCCCCATCGACATGGCAGGGTTTGCTATCAACGCTACTTTGTTCCTTGAACACCCTGAAGCCAAGTTCTCCAGAAAAGTCCAGTCTGGCTTTCAGGTTAGTATTTGTAATTAATATTTGAATCGTAATGACAAAATTCAGCAAAATTGTTATTTTACACTAATCTTGGTGTTCCCTTACCGATCAGTTCCAATAACAGGTTATATAGGTATAACTATTTAGATATTTGCTAACTAGATATATAATTATGGCATAGGCTACCAACAATACAACTCACCCAGCACATACCGAACATAACTCGGTGTGTTAACAAAACACGTACCTACGTTGTGTCTGTGAATCAACCATTAAGTATTTATTAGTGTAGGTAAAATATTAGTGCAGGGATAATTTTTAAAATAAGATAACTTCTTCAAATCATTATGGACACTGGAACACACATACCTACCTATAAAAAATATTTGGTAGGTAACTAAAATACATCTGTCATTATAATATATTATTATCATTGCCCTTGAGTGGAACTTAGTATCTTATGAATCTTGACCTCTTAATATCAGCTTATTGTTACGGAACGTACGCCTGCCTCAGGAAAACCCAATTAGCATATATGGACATTTTGATGTTGATTACATCGTGTTATGTTGAACATAACAAATGAAAATATTTGATTGTATGTCCAGGTTTTGTAATCGATTTATTAGCCCATGTTTCCGGAATGAATGTATGAGTAATCTTTATTGCACACCATTAATTATATACAAAAAAGAAATAACAAACTTAATTAAAAATATTAATGGGCACAACAACTTTGTGCCCATTATTATTTATTCTTATCACTTATAGTTATTTCTACCAGACAACCTTTGGGGATAATAAGTGTTTATAGGTTAATCCATTGGTTATGTGTAAATATTATTGTACCTAAAAAAATGAATTGATGTTCGTCTTTAGTCCCTAAAAGTAAAAACGACTGGACGAATTGGGAAATTTTGGTCTTGAAAGATTTGTGGAAGGCCAGGGCAGGCTTCAAAAGTGTTTTAGACGCTACGAAGTTTTGCCTGGTCATTTAGTTATTTATAAAACGTAATCAAACCTTGACATCTACTTGAGATATCATAGACAAACATTATTAGCTTAATTGTTTCGTTGACAATTTTTGCTATTTGCAGGCTACTAAATAAAAAAGTCTTGGGTCGTTCAATTCAGTATTTGCACGAATTGCCTGTAGTTGAATTGTTTTTTGGTAATAAATAAGGTAATTGTCAGTTCGGAGACTGACAAATGTAAATGTAATAGATTCATAATAGGCATCTATAAAAATCATTACACGCTTTGTCTATTATCCGTTAAATGTCAAAATTACTAACTACAACCGGTTTATGACTAGCTAAGTATCAAATAATAGATCAAAAGTTATCATTGTTTTGCCTAATTTGTTATAAATAGAAAGACATAAATTGGTCTCTAAGTTTAGAGATAATAGAGTTCAAAATGTAATTATTGTTATAATAACATTTCAAGTTCTTACTGCCAATGAATTTTAGGGATTTAATTATTTATATTTCATTTAACATAATAACCACGACATCAGTTGTAAATCATGATGAACTGAAAAACAGACATAAATAATTTAATTTTTGAGGATAGTCGACTAATTTCGAGCTACATTGAGGCTTATAATCATAGGTTGGGTGCGTGCTAAACGAATAAATATCTCACAAACATTTTCCACAATATTTCTCTCATTTACATAATAATTCAAACTCAAAGTCTTTCACAAACAATTTGTGACGAATGTGAATAATGTTACTTATATTTGTAGAAAACATTATCGCAATATTGTAATTGTTTTAGTAAAGTCCGATAAAGTATTGCTACATAACCTGGACACGTACCACATACAGTAGACACGTGCTACCATAACATCGCGCCTTTTTCTCCCTGAAAGGGTAGACAGCGGTGCACATTACAGAACTTTAATGCAATGTAACGCCCACTTTCCACTATTTATATTATGAGTCCCATGTAATAGGGAGCCTATTGCCATATACCGGGCACAATATTCCAAACTCCTTGCTACTACCTACATAGATTTTTTATAAAAACCCAATAATAGTTTAAACGACCTGGGATTCGAACCCGAAACCCGCACTTGGCCACTCGGCCAATGAGGCAGTTTTTATTTTTTTTACGAGAGGTTTTAAAGACGAAAGTAATAAACTAAAACGATACGTGGTAGCACGTATCTTTTTAGTTTCATTTAATCATTTAAGAAATTAATAAATACAAAAAGTATTTTGACTTGAAATTCCAATCTTTTAAAATCAGTCAAGGAAACTATTTATTAACCTTAATTTTTCTCTAATTTACAGGAAAGTGAAATATTAAAATACTTCACGACGAGAGACGAACTGGAGCCGTTAGCTGAGAACTGTACTAAAGTGTTTGTGTGGCATACACGTACTCAGAAACCTTCGATAGTAAACCCGCAGAAATTGAAGCGCCCAATCGCCTCCTACGACCATATCGAAGTGTGAGTCCAAACAGTATTCCATTGGTCTTCGTACACAGGGAACAACCTCCCGAAAGAACAAAACCCCACCTTATAAACAAGGGGTCAAAGTTCTCTTTACAATGTTACTCTATACAACCTATTTACTTGAATACTCAATTGGTGTATACTCAGATCAAAAAATTGTATCGTATAAACTACTTTTTGTAGATTTCGTCTCGATTTTATGTGTATAAGGAACAAATTTGTATGCTCTTCGTTTCTAACTCCAAAATGCCACTAAATTATTTTTAAAACAGTTTTGTGCAATTAATGAGAGCTTTTTATAGTGAATTTTTACATGGAGATGTGCTTTCTTACTAAATATGATACAAGTTGAGAAGTTTCGATAGACAATTAAGGGGTTGACTATCGATAGATAAGTGTTGAAAGCAAATTTTCCACTAACAATAATAGGGTAGATGCCAAATTTTTATTTTAATGTCCTTCTGGTAGATTATTTTAAATCATTAGACACGTATTTTTTATTTTCTTACAGAAACGAATACTCTCGACGATATATTGTTTTGAAATGTTGCGTGACGTCACTTCTATGTATATTTAATATGTAGAAATGACGTTTTAGCCCCCACTCCTAAACTTTGATTCGTGTTATCTAAGTATTGTTTTATTATACGACAAAATAAAAAAATACGTGTCTAATATTTTTTCATTACTTAACTTACGGACTAATTATATTGTTAATTTTCATACCCTGTCATCATCTCAATTAGCAAATGCCGTGCAAGAGATACTTGTAAAGATATAAAGGATCTTTAACTTGGGTCTGTTAAAGTATAACTTTGCGGTTTCAAAAATCCAACAGTAAATACTACCGACATGGTGAATCGGAGGCCATAAACTCAATTCCCGCTTATGTCATTTATTTTTCCAAAACTTGTATCATAATTAATAAGGGTAAATTTGTTAGTTCATCAGTGATTTTAAGAACAGTTATTTTATTGATATTTAGTAAAGCTAGTTAATTTTATTTCTGACCCGAGGTTATGGACGTCAAATAGCCCTGAAATTATGTATAGCATAAAATATACATAAAACGTTATAAAATACTAATATAAGGTATATAAGAAAGTCATTTGTACTAGACATGGATACATACAATAAGGTTTTATTTATTGTCGTATACATTTGGTGTATAGGTACAAGTATGGTTTTCAGATTTTTTTACTGAAACGACGTTTAGATTCATCATTTAAAAATTACTCAAGACAATAGACTCAATATTACACTTTTTTACGTTACATTTGAAATTTTGCTGCTTTTGAGCAGGGATTTTCTGACCAGTGTGATCGGAAATTACATGGCTTTGAATTTACGACTTTATTTCGTAAACTGTAGAGTTGACTTACAAGGTATTTGACATACAGCATCAATACCTGATTTAATTTTTAATCTATAACCTTATATAATGTTCATGGGTTATTTTTCTATTGTTTTCATCACAATTTGTCATAATAAATTGTATTACTTTTATTTTTTCCATTGTATTCAGTATTATGTAATATTTTTTTAATCATATTGGTTTGGCCGTATAGAACATGCTAGTTTTTTCTATACTATCGTTAAAATAAATATTACTTGCGTTATTACAAGTACTTTAGTGTAATAGCATAATTATATTTTACAAAAAATTACTTCTAATGTAAAGCTAGTCTTGTATTTTTATATATATTTTGCAATAATCGAGTTTTTATTATAAAGTAGATATTATCATTTATATATTTTATTATACTATAGACGTCATAATACTATCTGTAGATTCTAGTAAATTATTTTATAGGCATTAGTGGAATCATGTAACTTATTGTTAATGGTATTCTGTAAATTGTACGCCATCTTACAACACTGCTGCCATCTAGTTTTAAGTCCCCGAAATTAATGGTGTAGGGTATTTATTTGTATGAGGCTTTTTTGATTGTTATACTTGTGTTCTCGGTGCATTTCATTGTAAAGTATTCTCCAAATTGTAGTTTGGGCCCTGAGCGGAGTACCAAACTTACATATTACCAGTATTCAAACAGAATCTCTAAAAGTGTACAAGCGAGTAGGTACTCGCATTAATAAGGTTCTTATTAAATTCTAAATCATTGCACTAAATTCCACAGCTATACGAAATGTAAATCTTTGTTCCTCTCAGAGACTAAGTGTTCTTAAAGCATTTAATACAGAAAAATATAGTCTAACACTATCAGATAGCTGACTAAATATAATGGTATTACTAATTTATGTTAAGTAACTCCTGGGTAGTCTGCTTAGAGCCTTGCTACGTTAAATCAAAAAGCTATTTATTTAAACACATATTTGTTTATCTATTTTGAACTGTAACTTAAAATAGATAAGCAAATAGTAACCATATGTTTTGTACTTGATTTTCTTTTAAATACTCTGTTTTTATTTTGTTAAATATCTGTAATGCTATTCAATTTTAAAATGAATGTACAATATTACTGTTCTAACGATTTGTCAGTCAAAGATGTGATCCCGCGCAATTTGAAATTGAGTAGCATTACCTTTAGCGTTTCTGTTTTTAAATTTTTATGCATTTTTTTTACAAGTGGCCAGTGAAAACAGGGTACTAAATGCTTATCACTAAACTTCTTTTCACTCAGAGTAATTTCACCTGAAATCACATGCCGCCAATTCGCAAATTTGTAAAAGTATTTTTTTATTATTTTAGTCTTTATTTTTGCATCTTGAAGGAGACAACAATGGTTAAAAACTTTATAACTATGCCTTTGCGTCAAATATGTCAAATTTACTCATACATAATCTACTTCGAACTAAAGTAACCCATGTCATAATGTGATGTTACATTTTCTCATATAAATCAATCAGTCTTATCTCAAACAATGAATTGTTCTATGTTTAATTTGATTAAGAAGTCTAAAGCTACAGTGGCGCCACTAGTTCACGAGCGCTCTCTTAATTAGTCAGTAGCTTTGTCACCTAGTAATAGCATTCCCAGAAAACTTGTTCACACAGAAGTTTTAGTTGCACTAATGCATTTCAAGTAAACTTTGCCCACTGCTCACTTGGTATATACCTTTCGTTTTTATTCTAGGTCTTAGGAAACTTGTCTAGAGGTAAAACTAAGCATAATAAATTAGTTCGTTACGAGATGCTCAAAGTTCCGAATCGGTCTAAAACTTGATTCCTTTTTAGCGTAGTAAACTTTTTGTACTTATCTCTCTGTTATTGTATAGGAAATGTGAAATGGATATTAATTTGGATTGAAGATTATTTGTGATGATATATTTTTGACAGTTGATAAATTCTGTACCGCGAGTGTGACTTTGTCGGCCGTACTCAAAGGCATTTAATGATTATTTAAAAATTTCCTTAGTAACGGTTTTATCCTGCAAACAAATGGGTAGTTTCCGGGGCCAAAAATAAATTATTTTGATTTTTCAGTCCAATAAAATATTGAATAATAGTTACACTTTCATTCATTGATTTCCCGATATACTTAATATTCGATATATTCTAGCATTTTTTTAAAAACGCGAAAATATGATGACGTCATGAGATGGTATTTCGTACAAAATTCATAGAACAGTATCGTTTTTCACGTTTCGATAAAAGTATTGAATTTGACTATTTGTCAACTACCGTATTGCGAGGGACTGGGTTAAATAATGATTAAAAATTATTCTTTTAAGTACGGCTGTGAGTGGCTGACAGAATTTCTTTGTAGTTTTATGATGACCTGGAGATTTAAGTGTGTGTGTATTGTGTACCCATATGAGATTTGTATATGTAAATGGAAGCATGATACTTACCTTGTGTAGAGGGAAAACCGATCAATGTTGTATCTACTCTAATAATGTTTGTGTGGTTCAAAATATTCCTAATTTTAATTATGCTCGCGGTATCGAATTATTTTTGGTGATTGGTCCTATATTTCCTAACTTTGGGGAACAATGTATGTTGAAAGTGTTTGAAACAATTAATATTATTTAATATTTAATGCATATCGAATCTCAATTTATTTATCTTAATAGGCAGTGCCGTTTATTGTTGCAATTTATTAAATAAAAAGATGTAATACCCTTGGTTTACAAGGCCTAAAATATTCCCAAAATACTATAATTGTTTGTATTACTATTGTTTAAATTTTATTATTTTAATGACTAAATACGTAATTGAACAATTAATTTGGGACAGTTTGACCGTCGCGATGGCAATAATGTAATTTTACATTTACAATAGTTAAACTAATATAAGATACATTACAATATAAAAAGATTCTTCCGTTGTAAACTTACTGTCTAGTTTAATTTATAGTGTTTAAGTACGAACGAGTAGGAAACTCTTCATGTGATGATTTGTTAGATTTCTATTTCTATAATTTTGTAAATACTTCATATTTAATTTCATTGTATGATGAGAATAAAAAATACAAATGATATGAAGTTGTTTTCTTTTTACCGAAGCTTTTTACTAATAATCTTTGTTTTAAACTAACCTCTTATCTGTTGAAACACCGACTCCCGGTATAAACCATTATGGCCGTAACCTTCAATAGACAAGAGGCTAACCTTTTTGATATTGGTAACTGCATCACATCGATGCAAATGCAATGCATGGACAGTTGCAAAATTATTTTCCGATACCTATAAATTGGAAGTCAGACTTAAAGTGGTATTACGAATTATTTCGTAATTTAAGGTGGTTTATACAAATGCCAGACGAAGTTTACTTCTGAACAATATTCCATCCCCTTACCAAAGTTAAAGGTAAAGTTCAAAGAAATAAAAGTACCTAAATTACAATCAATAGCGACGTAGGTACTAAGTAAAGGTACCTATATAAGGGTCAATGTAGTCTGCATTTTCTCTAGATTTTTTTTTTCTATTTAGTCTTTAATGTACATAATTTGATTATGGCACATAAGGCGAACTTAATGCCATATGGCATTCTCTACCAGTCAACCTTAGGGTTTAAGTAGAAAATCTGCGAAAAAGAAGGTACGGAAAATAAACTAACAGTAAAGAGAGATAAAGGAAAAAGAAATAAAAAAGTATTGTAATTATTAAATAATATAGCTATATCTATAAGAAATCTGTATCTATAGAAATTAAAAGACAATATGCTGCAGTTTCCAAGTAAGTAACCAAGTAGGTACTTATGTAGGTACCTATTCTGTGAGCAAGTAAGTCAATCTATAGGCGTACCTACGCACTTTTTTGCAGGGTTTATGAAGTTCACGTCAAAACTTCCCAAAATTCGATTTGTTCAATAATCAAAGGAGACTTGTAATGCAAAATGTTTTCGACGTGCGACTGACTTGAAAAGTTTTGAGTGACAAGTTTTTTCTCGCTACCAGGTAAGGTCGGGAACGAGGGGTGAATTTGAATGAGCCTGCTAATATACATACTCAGTCGAAGAGTCTGTGTGTCTGTTCCCTAGAACCAACCTCAATTGTATTCCGATTTCTTGAAACTCTAATCTTTGGAAAAGA